AGAGAGAGAGAGAGAGACTCTAGATCATCTTAAGTGGGCTTTTTCATTTTCACATCTGAAATTAAAGTTGACAAATTTACCAAAGAAAACAAGAGTGAGATTAGACATTGAAAGATTTGGATGAGATCTTGAGGGGGCGATCATTCTCCATAGTTGTGAGGACTAAATATTCAATGCCTTGCAAAGTTCATAATGTCCAATTAGTGCTGTTCCTGTACCTACGAATGCCAATTGAAATTTCTAATGGAAACTTCGTTTCACATCATCTCAGGATGGTCTATGGAGACGGTGGAGTTGGAAAAGTTTCTCAACAAATGTATTCCATCCTCACAGGTATTCAGTATGGGTTGATGGCGGACAAGATGGGTTGGACAGTCAAGGTGAAGTGAGAAGTGGCAAACCCATGGTGGGTTGTCAAATCCAAGCTACAAATAATTTAAATAAAGTTCTCTATACATACTACTCTATGTATGCTATTATATCTGTCACCTGTAATGGAAACTCTACTTTGTTACAGATTTTTAGTGTTAGATGCAATCACTTTCTTTTGGGGTTAATGGCATTTCTAAGGGACTGGGAAGGATGCCCATTTGTGTTGATAGACATGCATTTTTCTTGTCACAAAGTTGGCCCTTGTGAATGGTACTATATCTGTCAACTGTAATGGAAACTCTACTTTGTTAGAGTATCTTTAGAGTCACATGATTCATGCCTACTGGATATTCATATTACAATCACTTTCTTTTGGGGTTAATGGCATTTCTAAGGGAATAGGAAGTATGCCTATTTGTGTTGGTAGACATGCATTTTTCTTGTCACAAAGTTGGCCCTTGTGAAATTTGACCCTTGCCACTTGGTTTGCTCAAAGGAATCATGAACCAACCAACTTGGGTAATATGAATGTAAGCGCACCTTACTCATAGTTTGATTAATACCAGTTAACAGCCCACGACATGTCCTATGCACACTTCCGTTGTAATATGATTTCCTAGTACCATAACGAAACTACTCCAAAGAATTATTTTTGGGTATTTATATGATCTCAAATTTTGTGTATATGCTCATTGCATCCAAATATTAATTGAAAAATATTTTTAATGTGTGCTTTAGAGAAGATTCAAATGAGCTCCACCCCAGCTGTGAGTGCATATTGGTTGTTGGTTGGTAGACAATTAGATCAAGGCCTTTAAAATCTCAAAATCAAAGTTTTCTCTATATCAAAAATTGGTAATTTGGGTGGTGAAAGGTCATTCTAAAGATTTCGGGTTAAAAAAAAATCCTTATGTTTAGATTTAATTGTACCGTTAGATGGACTGGGCACGTTCATTTGTGTTTGAAAGTCCCACTTTTTTTTTGTGTTTATTAAATTGTAGTTTTTATTATCGTTCATTAGAAGGAAAAGAATGCATATTGAAATTTGGGTTTGTATAGGCACTCCTAACATGGCTTTTGAATGAGCAGTTCGCTATATTATGAAATTGTTTCGTGAATTTATAGGGGTGTGATTTTTGTCACCCTTATTATAGTATAATAAATCCTTCATAAAAACCATATTTGTGACATTTGTATGACTTTAAATTTTACACACGCACTCTCTCTTCACAACGACCCTTCGGAAAAAGAGAAAAAAAAAAAATTAGCATATTATATAAGGCCAAAATGAATTCACCTCTAGCAATAGACCCAAACTGACCATTTGGTGGATATTGTGATCTAGGCAGCTAATAAATCAAAATAATTTCTCTTGCTTAAAATAGTTCACCTAATGAGCATAAGGCTGTTTACAAAATTTGAGATAGAAAAAATAAAAAATCCTTTTGAGGCTTAGATTGAATCATCCCATCAAATGAACAACCTATATACAATTGGTGAGAGAAATATTTTTTTGAGTGCAGTAATAATTTTTTTCATCTTTTTAAATCAGAATGAAAAGTGTATGGTTAAATATTGAAGTCAAATAAATACCTCTAGTTTTGAATTATGTTCCATTGTGTATTATTATAAAACTATTTGTATGTAATCATTCTCTACACACACATTATGAAGCTAAATTTGAAGGGTGGACATGTGTTGTAAGAATAAGAAGTGACCCTATATCTAGAGAGATTATAGGATAGATACTTTTCAAATAAGATAGAAGGGATCCTATTGAGAGAGAGTATTTTTAGAGGTAGAGAAAGGGACAGAGAAAAAGACTTCTAAAAATAATGCCTAGGGGCAAGGCAGAGAGTGAGTGTTATGAACGAGAGAGAGAGAGAGGTGGATTATATTTTTATGTCTAGAGAGAGAGAGCTAGAGACTTCTAAAAATAATGCAAAGGGGAGAAAGATGTTAGAAGAGAGAAATCCTTGAATGTAATAGAGAAATAGAGAATTACGTGGATTGACCAATAAAAAAGATAAGTTTCTTTCTTGGAACGTCCTAAAATCTTGAGAAGGGAATAATTTTGAGAAAACAATAAAATAAACAAAAAATTTGAATCACACAAGCAATAATTAGGAGAAAACTAAGGTTTCTACCTCACCCCTTCAAGCTAGGGTTCTAAAAGCATATGTTTTTCTGTCTTTCAATTTTAAAAATCACGTGGAATGACCCCCACAAGGCCCAATGCACTTCTTATAATTTATAATTTAATATTCAAAGCATTCAGGGTCCATACAATAGCTAAAATGACCCAAAAAGTCCTAGTTTGAATACAATTTATAATAACAGTTTTAACCCTATGAATAATTTTTATGAATAGTTTCCATGAACAATACCCATAAATAGTGACTTGTCAACAATTTTTTAAAAAAACTCTAAAAGCCACATTTTTCATCTTTATTAGCTCAAATATAATTCATGGTAATAAGAAATCCTCGAGAAACAAATCCCGATATGTATAATAAGAATTGATACAAATTTATTAAATTCGACTATCCCTAAATTTGTATAGAAAATTGTTTAGAAGCTTCAAACTCAATTTCGTGGCATTTACGGCTTTTCGACTTCTATTTCATTACTCTCTAAAATCATGGCCAAATTTTACGGTTTATGAATCAACTATGTTTCTAATCCGCTACTTTGATTCTAATTAGGTAAATTTCTTGAATGCTCCACCTCTGTGATATCCTTGATATTTTTAAAGGCCATGATTTTAATCAATTCTCTGATTGCCTTCTCTCCATATTCTTTTCGAGCAAGATCCTCTTCTTAAATAACTTCATCTTCATCTACATGTTCATCTTGATCTTTATTAACTCATTTACTACTTTTATAATGAAGGGAGATGTCCCTTTAAATAGACTAAAAAATATTAAAAAAAAGATAAACAATAGACTTTCTTATTTTCTCTCTTTTAACCTACTTTCTCTCATCCCTATCTTTTCGCTCTTAAATTCACGTGCCACCTACGTTTTACAATTCACGTGCCACTCACGTTTTACCCAAAGTTATTGTTGAAAAGATAAACTCCCTTTAGATTTAACCTTATCCTAAATTATCTTTATATTTAACATTGTCTTATTTACATTCCTAAACTAACTAACCCAATCCATAAACTAACTCACGCACAAACTCAATGCCCACCTATCCCTGTGCATCTCCTAAGTTGAAAGATAAAATCAAAAACTAATAATAATAATAATTTTTTTTTCTCTGTATTATTCTGCCGCGGTTGAGAGCAGCTCGACCTCGAGCTTGAAGCCAATCACCATCAGCTAATTGGTGATGTAATCCCACCATGCGCCTCAATACCTTTTCTTCAATTTTTTTAAGACTAATGTAAGGCTCTTCGCCTGTGATCGTGTTCCAAGAGTAATTGTTGAATAGGAGCTTGGGTTGATTATTATTCTGAACTAGGAATGGGTTCAGCTCCAAAGAAGTACCGACCATGAAATTTTGCGAGATAGATTTTAATACTAAAATCTCGTGGTCGATCTATAGGATGCGGATTTGGCCTGTAATCTTTGTTATGATCGAAATCAGCACCCTGGATTTGTCGTGGAATTCCTGATGCAAGATTAATGTGGTTGCTAGTAGCTTCTTCGTGAGGAAGGTTATTGTCCAATCGCTGCAACCTTTGATCCAACCGTTGTAGCATCTGATCCAACCGTTGCATCATCTGATTCACCTCCTTATTCATCTCACGTACTTCAGTTCAAAAATCCTCTAGGTGTTGCATCTTCTGATTCATCTTAGGCACTTCAGTTCGTAAATCCTCTAGGGCTTTAGTGAAAAATTTCTCCCCAACGATCATCCATAGCCAGAGCAAGATTAGCTTGATTCGCTTTTGGTGGCATTGTAAACTCTGGACCTAACTTGCTCTGATACCAATTGATACAGGGGAAAAATAAAACCAGAAAAATAAATCTGATATGAATTGATGCAGGGAGAAAATAACATGGGAAAAATAAAAATAAAAAGTTGAAAGAATATACCCTCTCTCAAGGTCTACAAAGGAATCCACCCCAAAATAATCTCTTCGAAACTAAATTTTATTAACTCATTCACTATATTTACAATGAAGGGAGATATCCCTTTAAATAGACAAAAAAAAATTAAGACAGCAAGATAAACAATAGACTTTCTTATTTTATTTCTCTCCCTATTTTCTCTCTCTTAACCTACTTTCTCTCATCCATATTTTCTCTCTCTTAAATTCAAGTGCCACCCACGTTTTACAACTCATGTGCCACCCACGTTTTACCCAAACTATTGTTAAAAATATAAACTTCTTTTAGATTTAACCTTATCCTAAAATCCCTTTATATTTAACATTATCCTATTTACATTCCTAAACGAACTAACCCAATCCATAAATTAACTCATGCACAAACTCAATGCTCACCTATCCCTGCGAATCTCCTAAGTTGAAAGATAAACTCAAAAACTAATAATAATAAATTTTTTTTTCTCTGCATCAAATTCCCAATCTACGATATGATGATTTTGGATACAATCCGACTCAAAGTCAATAGTATCCTAACTAAGTCTTCTATCACTTACCTATTTACTCAACTCTTCACATAGAAAACGAAGGTGGTTGTACTCAACATTTTCTTACATCTTGCCTGTGAATGATGCTCGCAAACTGTTGTACCAGAAGCTGAATTTGCTTTTCAAGTTCCTCAATTTTTTTATATTTAAAATCACAAATAAGGTCTACAAAAGGCCTTCTTCCAAAGGCCCTTCGCGATGCCATAGGTTTACTAAAATTGAAAGGTGGACTAAACGACTGGGCAAGTCAATACCAATTAGAATTTTTTTACTCTTTTTATAAGTATCCAAATACAATTTTCACTCAATGAATTAGCCAAGACCTCTCACTTGTATGTCATTAAAAGAAAATTACATTCATCATGTAGAATTGAAAAATTACATAAGAAAGCAATAGAAGCAACATAAACATAGAATATGAAACAATGTCTGCCTTGACATAGGTTACCCTCAAGGACTTTGTACACCCCAAACCGATTCTCCTCCATCGATGGCACACAGGATCTTGGTTCAAGAACATACATCACAATTTGGAAAGTTTAAGCAAAACCCTCAGAGAGCATCGCATGAGATTTCCTTAATCAAGGCTCAATACATGAGCATGACGCAAGGACCTAGGGCTAGGGCTGATGTGGCTTAGGAGTGCCCTCCCTTAGGGTTAACTCTTTCCTAAACCCTAACTTGGATGAGAGAGGAAGAGAGAGAAGGCTTGAGTGGGGCGTGACCCCTTTGGTTGCTTAGAGAGAGAGAGAAAGAT